CAATTGCAATTATAAGGATTGCCATGCTGTATTTTACTTGTGGGATTCAAAATGGCTAATTGCATCCGGATTTACAACTCCATCTGTTGAAATCGGGCTAGCTTGGCTGGGTGATTGTAGTGTAAGGGCATCCTGTCAGGCATCTGCATACACATGTCCCTTTCACATATTAAGAACATGATTTCTATTGTATCTATATAAGCCTCCTTAAACAAGTGGCTCTCTCTAGTTTAATTTAGCTAATCTTGGTAGATTTCTGATGCACACATACAAGTCTGTATCCATATCTGTAGACAGTTATACAGATATAATTTCAGATATTTAAGAATGGCAATTCTCTTCACTTATCTTTAAAATGGATCTGCATAACACCTTAATATCCATCAGCCAAGACACAGTATAGTCAGTTATGTCCATTCTTAGGAGGGGCTTCAAATAAAAAAGGGGCAGCTTATATGATATCTGTAAATTCATATATAGCAACATTTATATGTATAATAAAATCATAAATATCCCTGGCCTATACTAAATATCAAAACGTATCCTTTGTTGTGTCAGTTTTTAATTAAATCTATGTATGTGTAGATTTTGCTGTACGTAATAAGTATTAGAGAATCTCTTCGTATTTCTAAAATGTTATCAGTAAAGAGTATTTTAGAAATTGATAGTAAAAAATAAGTAAGTAAAAACAGGGATTGGAGAGAGAGAAGTTCCCTGAGGATGGGCTCCAGCATGAGTCTGAAAGTTTGGGAAACTAAACCTCTTGTTCTGGTGATCGACTCAGATTGAATCCTGCAACATTATCCTGGGACATGTATACCTGCCTTAATTTGTAAAATCGGGGACTTTTCTAGTCCCTCGGAATTCTGTGCATTTATTGATATTGCACTCATAATATAAAATGTTTAATTATTGCTGTTTTATTGTAATTTGTTATATATAAATAATATATTAAAATATTTATACATTATTTTATAAACCAAAAATAGTGAAGTATATTATATGTTCACATCCACCATGTCATTCCTATTCAGTAGCCAGTAGCTCCCTAATGAGGGGGGGGATTTTTAAAGCTATTAAAATTACTGTTAAGAATCCATTTTTTTCCCTTTTGGAGCAAATACACAATTGAAATGTCCCTCAAAAGGAGGCCCCCTAGTGGTGTTCAGAACTTTCATTTACAATATTGTTTCTGATTTTCAAAACAATTCTTGGCCCTTATAGGATTTAGAAACTTGAAGGTCAATAAAGTCGTGTCAGAGTAACACAAGTAGGAAATACTTCACACGGTTCCATTTTATAGTGACAAAATTTTTAGGGAAAACAAAGCAAACAAGTCTAAAATTTCTTCCCATCCCATCATAAAAGCAAGGAGGTCTAATTGAGCCTTGTCTTTTTATCCTGCTATTTGTACAAATAAAAGACCACATCTTGATGCAAAATAAACACAAAAGCACTGTTGTGACTATAACAGAGAGTCATATACTAATTTATATAATAAGTGGTTGTGCACGCTTTATTCAAGATTATGGCTGCAAGAAAAGGCATGAATTGCTGGGTGTGTTTAATGCTGGATTATAGCAATTTGAAACATGTCAAACACATGGCTAATGCCTCATGCTTCACTCATTCTTGCGTAAACTTGCATAGCCACCATCCATTATACCCTTGGTAACAACACAATTCTGCAAGTAAATATTGTTACACTAAGTAACCTTTCAATTCAAGTTGTTTAGGAAGAGAAAAATGCAATCTTGTGCAGTCAGTTTCAGTGTCACTTTAATGTTTCAAAAAGGAAGTGGTGTAGAGAATAAGTATCTGTATGGTGACTTGCTGATTTAAAGGAACCTAAAGAAAATGTAAGATTAGTGGCAAGAGCAGAACAGGTAGCAGGAGTAAATGTATACCTACTTAGTTATACTTAATTATAAAGCAAAATAATTATTGTTAAATATTGGTGCTTATTAAACTGAAGCATCTAAATATAATTGTCTCCCACCTTTGTATGAAATATATTTGCGGTCATTGAAAGCAGGTAATTCTAGTTTGAGACTCATGCACAATTCATCTTTGGGATTGTATATCTCTTTGCAGTTTTGGTAAACTAGTAAAATACAAATATATGCTTAAGTATGAAAATATATATTTTTCCACAGTTGTTTTTAGAAATGATTATCTTTGGAATCATACCTTTGTGTGCATTTTGTTTATTAGTGTGTATTAATTAAAATTCAAGACATTGCAAACCATTCCTTTTCATAATACTGTTTTTTGGTTCAATAATTTGAACTTGAAAAGGTCTTATAAAGATACCTCAAAATGGTATATACACACACATAAACACTCTTGCAAATTCTAAGCGATTATTAGTTTTATTTCTGCAGTATCAGAAACCACAATCCTTTCTACATAGTCTCTGGCTTATAAGGCAACGATGTGAATCACTTCTCGTTTAACTATTTTATTTGGATTATGCCATACCTAATGAGAAGTAAGTGTAGCTTATGTTGAAGATCATTTTCCTTTTTTTTTATCTACTTGGTCAATTGTGTAGTCTTGATTTGGTCCTTAACTGTATATATTGTATGGAAAATAATTCTAGCATTCATAACATTTCAAAGTTAAAGACTTATATATAGTTGATTAACAAGAACTGTAGAATACATTACTTTTTCCTTTCTAATTGTAGTGAAAGAGTCACAGACCGGCAAAAATCTAATTTTAATTTGAAAAGAGATTTGAAAAAAAATATAAAGTGGCTTTGGTTGATGAAGCTGCATGTAGCATACATTTATCCTTATAATGCATATAATTTACTGTTCCAGAAATATATTCAAATATTTATACTAAAAAGTAATGTAAAATAAATCTTTTATTTTCTGAAGACATGCCCTCCACCTTTTGGAGGTGGTATGAAAAAGATAAAGTACTCAGTGAATATATTCACAGTGATATATGTGTTTTAGCAACTAAGATTGTAATTTTATAATTTTTCTTTTTCTAGGGAGAAGGTCCCATAGAACTCAATGGGGTTCTATGTATGTATGTATGTATGTATGTATTTATGTATGTATGTATATGTATATATGTATAATGATATGATATATTTTTAAGTTGCCTTGGAAATCTGAGATATTCTTTAGCAAGCTCTTATGAGTTATATAAAATTCTATCAAGCACTTTTTTCCTAAATATTTTAAACATGGTTCATACAAAATTGATGCATTTGAATACTTATTAGCTGCCCGCTCTCATAAAATGATATTATTTTTGTTTTCTTATTGAAAACAAAAATAACACATGTAAACACATGTAAACACATGTAAACCTGTGTTTACATGTCTAAAATTTTTTTTACCTGTATAACATGTTTAATTTTTATTCTTATTGTTACTGAAGTTAAGAGTATTTGTTCTTGTGGCTATCTTCTTTATTTGAATTGTAATTGTCTCTGTCAATGTTGTGTGTGGGGGAGGGGATAGCTATCTCCTTTGAATCTAAAATATGCATTTAATATGTAGTGCTTTTTAAGTGCTTTTTTAAAAAAATTAAATATTCCTTTATGAAAAATTGTATTTATTTAATGTTATTGATAGTGATTTAAACTGTAATAATTTCTTTGGTATTTTATAGAAGAAAGTACTGATCATATGCTGAGTTGAATTGAACACTGTGTTAGGTAGTAGTAATTCTAGTAGCAGCTGTTTCCTTTGACTGGATTTATCCACCCATTAAAGCATCTTGTCAGAAAGTTTTATCAGAAAGTTTTGCTTTACTTTGCTCTGTTTTGTTCCCACCCTCACATTTTCTTTCCTTGGAAATTGGTTGGTTTAATATATACATTCTTACAAGAAGATAGATGATGCATTATTAACATAGATAGAATTAAGATAAACTCTGAAAATAGCAAAAATGGAATTTTCTTACTGATGTAAAATATATTTGAAATTCTAGTTTGTAAGAATATGTTGGTTCTTTATTTACTGCAAAGATTCCATCTGATCTTGGCAGGACATCTCATTGCTATACTGAAAGTACAGTATATTTATGCAGTGAAAATGATAAAACATTTATTACTGTAGAGGAGGTAATATACATAATTTATGCTGTTTTTAGCACAATCATTAGTGATATTCTTGATAGATTTTATTTCTAGCTTTCATATCTAATACATGCCTGGAAAATTAATTTTATATCTTTCATTTATTTGCCTATGTTAAAATTGAGTTTTAAGTCATCTTCAAGTGAACAGTTTGATTGCTGCTCATGCATAAGCTTAATTACTTCCCAGGAAGGACAGTATTAAATGTTTTAAATGTCAGAAAAATAAATGAATATCAGCCATTTGATTAAAAAAATAGGCAATATCTAACGTGTTTGCAGCAAGAGCTTTTGCTTAAAATGCCTCCAAGGCAAAATTTTATTTAGTCACGCACACAAAAAAGAGCAACACATTATACTATTTATCATTAGTTGATACTATATGATTTGTAACATCCTTACAAAATTTTAACTTTGTATGATTAGCTGTGCATCATTAAACAAAAGCCTTGCATAAGAAACGCTGTAAAATTCTGACAGAATCTAGATAGTGAATATTTTAAATAGGGGCTGTATAGTCATCTATGGTTGTCAAAACTAGATAATAGGAAAAATGGGGCAGGGTATGAAATTATGCCTTCATTTTACTGGTTTGATACATCACATCAAATGTGATGTTCAGGAATACTGTTTCCCCATGTTGCATATATGGATGTTATTTTTGCATATGAAACTACAACAACATTGCTATGAGAAATATGGTTTCAGGAATGAGTATAGAATATCTGTGAAAACAAGGTTTGTATTTCATTGCTTGTTCCTTAAATGACTATGCAAGAGGTTCTTCCCCTTCCCCTCCGAAAGATGTTGTCTCTGTAATTGGCAAAGAGGGACATCTTGATAATGGAAGTGTGAAGGTGTAATGTGTGTGTTAATTGATACTTCTTAATCACTTTTAGGTATTAAGTCATGATGCAGGAATCTGCGACAGAGACAATAAGCAACAGTTCAATGAATCAAAATGGAATGAGCACTCTAAGCAGCCAATTAGATGCTGGCAGCAGAGATGGAAGATCAAGTGGTGACACGGGCACTGAAGTAAGCACAGTAGAACTGCTGCATCTGCAACAACAGCAGGTAAGTTTTTGTTTGTTTTGCACCCTGTTTATTTCCATGGCAATGGAAAGGTTTTTCCTATCCTTCTAGTTGTTGTTGTTTTTTTTTTTTACTTTTAAAGTATTGCAGAAAGTGGAGCACTATTTTGTTGTTTATTTGTTTTGTTGTCTTCTGTAAGTCTTTAAAATAGAAAATTTATGCATGTTTTTAATAGTTAAGATATATCTGCCCTGGAGTACCTGCACACTTTCTTTTAAAGACAAGAGTATATATTTGTAGACATTGCTTCCTTATCTTTTCAAGCAAAACATTTTTTTTTTTAAACCGCCAGCTTCCTTGAATGATACTGAGAAAGAAAAGGTGATCCTTAGCTTTCCACAAGAGGGCCACATTACTTGCTATTTTATATCTTTGTAGATTGAAATTGTTCCTAAACTCAGCTCAGGTAAAAGTGCCACAGGGATTCTTTGCAGCTAAGTTGCTTTGCTATAGTTCTTGTAAATAAAATTTCATGAAATATGTAGATAAAAAGTTGAAAGACACCTGAGCAGACTAATTGAAATACCTCTTTAGAGATGAAAAAAATGCCATACTTTTTTAGCCAGGAGACTAGGAATAAAGTAATTTCCTAAATGACTATTTATGTCCCTGTGTTTGTGGTATGTGCACTTATATTGTTTCCTTTGTGTGTAACTAAATAAAACTTTTAATATTTATAAAAATGAAGAGGGAAATGTATCCAAGTAAATGATGATCTTTTCAGTCAGGTTGAGTAAGCTACAAACAGATAATAAATTTATGCTTTTTACTATGAGGAATTTAAGACACACATTTAACACTTTTTAAAATTATTATTGCTGTTATTAAAAAGTAGAACTAGGCTATTTCTTTCTTCTAGTTATATATAAAGGCCAAATACTTCAGGGTGCTGAATATTATACATAAACTGCTGAACTTCTTTTTAGAGCTATGCCTTACACTCCCAAATCTTTATATTAAACTATTAATATTCAACTTGTTAATAGATATATTTTTATGATCTATATCATGAGCAAATAACTACTGAACATAAAGTTGTTAAAATTGAATTTTACTTGAAAATTTACTTTTACTTATATTGTTCAGTTTAGGCCTTTACTATCAGAAATATATATGGCAGTCATTAAGTTATTAAACTATTATATTAATATTGAATAAATTGTACAGTATTAGTTATGGTGATGTGGAACAATTATAATAGTTTTGTCTTGAAAACTTAGCAATATGTAAGAATTTATAGCTGTGCATTGTTTCAATACCAGTTTTCTTTCCCTTCTTAAAATTATATTTCTTTATATATATTAACATTTTTTCTATAAATATTGTCTAATCAAAACTTTGCTTTTTTTAAAATATCATTTTAAAAAGTTGAAAATATGCTTATTTAGGTTACAGTCCTAAATTCTTCCCCCAATTACTTTATTAGACTTTCCTCTGAATAATACGCATGGGAGTGCTCTATTAATATTTTTAAAAGATAAGCAATCATTTATAACAGAAATCATTCTCACAAAATGCAACTTATCATTTCTTAGAGTACCTTAAAAACTTCCTGTTTGTTCATGTAGTCATAGCTTCCAGTAGAAATAATGCAGAAAAAAGAAGATAAAAATATTGTTACACTGTAAGGGCAAACTTGGCAGCAACGTTGTTCTTTAATTTTCTGAAGTTTCAGAAGATCTCAAAATAAGTAGATAGGAAAGTAAATATACAAGTCTCCTTAGTAGAACTCGGAAAACTTTGAGCGTAGATTTCTACATTATAGGCTGTAAATATAGTTTTAAATTATATTCTAAAACATCATGATTTTGGCTTTAGGCAAAAGAAAACTTGATTTCTGTGTGCTTTATATAGTTGCTTTCTCTGAGTTATTCTCACAAATATATTTGGATTAGTGTATAATTTTGAATATATTCTGAAGTTTTAATTATCTGTTGATATAATTAGTCAGATTCCTAAAATGTTATGGTTCTGGTTATTTAAACTCTGTTCATAATCATTTAGAGTTCTAATCTTGTATGTGCTGTCAAAGAGGTAAGCCTTATTGAAACATGCATAAGATTGAACCATTAATCTATAGCCTGGCACACTGAAATTGTAATTAAAAAGTAGTATTACAAAGCTCAATATATGTTTATGGCATTCATGACCAAAGGATACTGTATTAGATGTGGAATCTTATTTTGGCATTAGATTTGCAGAATTAATTTATGTCACTAAGGTCAAAAGAGTTATGCAAAAACATGATTACCTCGTAGTTTTGAGCTTTCATTTTGAATATTCATTAAGTCAGCCTCCATAATAACCTTTAAAATTTTTGTTACAGTTTTTATGCCATTAAAAAGTTTATAACCAAGCTTAGAGGTACTTGCTTCAGTTGGTGGTTTATTTTTATAAACAAATTTTATAGAAAAATAAAATACACAAATAATTACAACAAATTATAATGATAATCTTTGCTTTTATATCGTTACACATTTAT